AATATGGTCTATCCTAAATTTATTTTAGAAATACGCCACTGTGAAGACAGCATTAATTGATTTCAACGCAATTCTGTTATTCGAACTAAACCCAAAAGGTCATGTCGTTTTATTAACTGTTTACTAATCGATAATTAGTAATCGAATGGCTGACATTCGAGCTCAAATGCTATTGATATATTGCCTCAACATTTGAACCATTAACCCACTTAGGGCCTTACGGTCCTCTTTCAAAATACGTTCCATTGGTACTAGACTCGTAGCAAAAGGCGCCATTGCCGCTTGAAACATGTTCAACACGTCTATAGCCTTCGTCTGAAACACCACCAAAACTCATCACGTGGGTGATATTAGTCTGCTGTGAGACAAGCGTGAGTGCGGTTGGGTGCATTTTCAAAAAATAATCCGTGTGTTAAAGTGTTAAAAATTTATATCAAATGGCAGGCATTTTGACGGTTATCATTAGCCCTTTAGTTGACTTCAGGCTTCACAGAGGGGAAAGAACATCAAGGTGAAAAAATAGAGAGGAGGGGGGGGGGATGTGGAACAGAAGAGTGTTTCAAAGATATAAATGAGGCAGACACAAAGGGAGAGAAAAGGTGAGGTGAATACTGTGGAAGTAGTCGAATATGGCACACAGTGGGGTCATGGCAGTTTGAAGTCAGAAGTCAACTGCCGATTAATAGGCTTTTTTGCCGTATGGGAATACGTTGCCCAGGGTGCACCACGTGGAGGTAAGTCTATCGCACACCCCATGTGTTAAATATTGAGGATTGTAGAATTTAATTTTCTTTACCAAATTATAATTTGATCAATATGGGCAGAATTCCAATTCTATTTAATTGCTTTAAGCGATAATCCATTTAATGAAAAGTATATATGACGTGATCGTTAATAGAGCGGAATTAACTTTTGAGATCAAGAGGAAACAAGGGTTCTAGTGTTGTTGACTTTAAAAATTATGACAATCTTTACTTAAATTCCCGCATGGATATCATTATTCACTTGGAAAATAACTTCTGTCATTGGTATTTTTCAGAAAACATTTAATTTTGCTGTTCTCTCTCCACATTCCTTTATAACATGCAAAGACTTGGAACAGTTTTCATTGTTTATTTTTATTTCAAGTATTTTATTTTCATTGAGTTGACTTCCTGCCTTCCTAATTATTACTTCTATAATGAGACTGTTTCAGGTGCGTATTCTTCCACCATATTTTTTAATCTTTTTTTACGCTTCAGTGGTCTGAATTCGTTTCCATTTTGCTCAACAGTGCTGTCCTTTAACCTTCACCGTCTTCATAAATCGGTGTGTGAATGGCTTCAAATGAGCATTCTCATTACCATCCCACATTACTTTGGTCATTTTGGTCTATTGATCTCGATAGATTAAGTGCTCGATTTGATTAATTAATGAAACATCCTGTTTAAATTTTTAAAAGGGCAACTTATACCGAAATATCTGTCAACTTCATTCGACTGTGGAATGCGACTTATGCTTCAGAATTTGTGCACAATAATTATTGGATAAAGTGGGTTTTCGTCTACTGTAACTACGTTCTACGTCACTCACCCTAGTGAAGTAAACAATCAATCCATTTATTGATAAATTGTATTGAGGAGAGGCATGATTACGAGGCACTTAAACTCTACCAATATTTTAGTGACTTTTGACATTTCTTTCGGAGATTTGAACAGAATCATTGGTAAGGAAAATATTGTCCAGGAAATTTAAATTATTACTGATCTCGCATTACCAATTACTTTCTTATTAGTTTGTTGCATTTGAAATCAATTATTTTAAGAAAATAAAATCTACCAGCGTTCAAGTGGTACCGGGGGGGGGGGTTTCTGGAAGTCCAGGAATTTGACTAATTAAGTGTTTTGTCATTACTATTTTTCGCGTTCGCAATTACTACTGTTGACAATTCCCAATTTACGAATAAAGAGACCTGACTTTCCTAGTCGCAGATTTCTCTTGCTTCCTAAACTGGTCTCAAATCCACAATATAGATCTATTAAAAGCAACTCGATATCAAACTAACGCCACTTATCCTCGGTAGGTAATCGGAGAGTTTCACATCCTCCCTACTTCCATATAAATATGGTTCCGAGTGTTTAGATCCCATTAGCGTGAACACACGATAGCAAATCACAAATAGAACTTATTCCTCATTGCGAACACAGCGCTGCGCGTAAATATACATGAACATTTGTGGGATTGCTATTACACCCCTCTCTAACCTCCCCTCCCCCCCCCCCCCCCTCCCCTCCTCGTCCTACTCCACCCTTTTTCCCTACACATCACCACCGGGTTATACACGAGAGGTGCGAATTACCTGTAATTGAGATTAATGACCATTCTATCATTCGCTCATTTACCCTTGCCCCTCTACATGGCTCCATGAGTTTTGCTCCATTTATCGCCACCGGCGCCTCCAGATTTGGTGGATGTGTGTGTGTGTGTGTGTATTAGTGGCAGCAACATCAAGTACAGTGCAGGCGTATATGTACACTTAGTGACCTTTAGTTAGTCTGAGTTTGAAAAAAAAACAACAAACATTCATTGCATTCGTGTGAGAATAGCAACCAATAATGGTAATTGACCAGAGAATAGAATATTTGTAGAATATGGCTTTCAGTACTCAAAGATTGTTTGTTTCCAATGGCTTAATTTATCTTCAATTTCTCTCACCTCAGGATAATTGGAAGTCACTTAGCAGACCCCCGACAAAATGTGGCATTACAC